ATAGCGCAATATAACACTATCGTTTGGAAAGACGGACATGTGCCAATAAATGAACTGTAAGAGTAAGCTTATCGAGATTCCATACTTTGAAGTTCACCTGAAGTCAATAAACCAGGAGTCTGCTAACCTGCAAAACTGAACACCATGTTTTTGCCTTATTAGAAAACATGTCTGGGGCAAGCAGTTGTTGTTTCATAGCAGATACACCTGCGTCATGTGCAGCGAAAGTCCTCTGACAGTTCTACCTTTAGGAAATCCCGCCACTCAAAGGTCCAAGGTAAAAAGAATCCAGACTTCCAGTCTGCTACCCAGTCACTGGCAGAAGTAAAATTTATCAACCTCCAGTTGACCTCTTTCTGTAGCACCTAAAAACGCCCTGTCAAAAAGCGGGTCACATAGCCGCAACTCCACCGACCCCACTCACACATGGGCCGCACAGATGTCCATTCGAGTAAATCACACTGACAGCATTCCGAAGTACAAGTGATGATCCACAACATTCACTGGGCAGATTCCGAGCTCAAGCATAAAACACTATTAAAATTGTCGCATTGGCCTTGAACAATTCGCACATACATCCACGCTCTTTGACTGACTGAAAGCGAAGGACTCAAGCTACCCCGTGATTGTCCGAAAATCTGTCTATATAAGGCAGAGAAAACAAATTTCAGGCAAATGTTGTCATTCCTTTCAGGAATGCAATTTTTCGTTACTTGAAGCCCTACTCTGGCGCTTGCCAGGGGTCGCAATATAGCCTGTCCATAAATATGGTATAATGGCTGAACGCGGTTTCTGGGACCTCTCCACTGGTGATCCTTATCCACATGGTGGCACTTTGTGTCATCGGGTGTTTATCGCTTGTGTGCTGTCCTAGTGGGGTAAATGAAGATAGAGATTTCAGGTCAGTGGAAGAAAGTAATAAGTATTTATATTCCAAAGACGTGTAATTTTACTCACTGTAGCAACTGCTGTGTTATCAGTAATGTCAATGGCTGTATGTAAAATAATTCTGAATAGAATTAAATAGGTAGCGGACAAAATCCCGAGATATGAACAAAAACAGGGTTTGGACCTGAAGAAGACTGAAATTACACTCGGAGACTTGGCGGGGGAGGGGGGGGGGGGTTTAAACATTTTTAAAAAAACCTAATTTGAATTTCTTTGATTTAAATAAGACTTTTGATTGTTTACATAAAACATCAATATGGCGAATTTTGAAATGCAATGGTAAACCTATTAAAAATTTTTGTTTAAATGTAAGGCAATGTATGAAGATCCAAAATGTGCAGTGCAAACAGACAATGGTTAAAAGCATTGTTTAAAGTTGATACTCAAGTGAAACAGGAATGCATTTTATCTCCTCTATTATTTGTCATAACCATTGACTGGCTAATGAACTAAACGTTGTGTTGGAAACATGAGCATTGACTGGGGAGAACACGCGGTTTAAGATCTCGATTTTGCTGAAGAGATTGTATTGCTGAGTAAAAACAGAAATGACATGCACAGAAAAACAAATGATTTAGCAAACTGAGTTTTGAGGGTTGGACTACAAAAAGTTATTAAAAGACAAATATATTGAACACACACACAAACACACACGCGCGCGCACAGACACACACAAACACACACACAACTCAAACAAATTAACTTCATGATATGGTGGCCAAAGCGGAGATTATACTTATAATCTTTACCAACTAGTATTTTGAAGTCAAGGAGGATTTGTTTGGATCGTATATCAATTCCAGAGGCTTATGAATCTAAATATGAGATACACAGTATGAAATACGGTTACAGGCAAAATACAGTTTAAGGGAGCCCAAACAATGGGGCAGGTATATTTCTTTTTTTGTCAGTCACTTGTGATGAAGACCACTTTTCATCCAAAGTAGTAATGATGATAAATGGATGAAATTGACTTGTGCATGGATTCGGATTTGAGTCTGGATTAGTTGTGCAATTCGTCCACCCCAATCTCTCACCTGTGTCCATCTTGATACAATAGCAGGACAATGTCGAAACGACAGGAAACGGACCTAGATGCAGTGGATGACCAAGGCGTCTTACGTGCCCTGCCTTGCCCGAAGCTCTTCACAAAACCAGCTGTAATCGCCTTCTTGTCCGTTGAACCACAAGAGGTTTCATCCGCACAATCCGCCCAGACCCGTATTCTCATGCAGGGTAAGTATATCCCTGTCAGGTCTTGGTCAAATATGACTAAACTACCGTATAACAGTAGCCGGTACCACCTGTTTTCTGTTACGCCGAAGGTAGAAAATATAATAACATGCACATTCATGTAAATGGTACTACAATAAATTAACTACGGGAATTCACATATATACGAAGCATATTTACAGAAGAGCTAGAAGCCAGAGTACATGAGACACGCACTGTCATCTACTCGCTAACCCTACTGATTCGATACCCTTCTATCAAAACAGCAGATGATTAAAAGCGTCTTAATCCCTGCTATCAGTGCTAAACATGTACAAAAAATCGGTTGCTAGAGCAGAAAATAAATACCTGTGAAATGCACTGTCTCCGTAAGGTTGCTAACAACACAAGAAGGGACAGTGTTACAAATCCGATCATATCATATCTCAGAGTAGCTGCAAACAAGAACACCTCAAGCATGAAGTTGTAGGAGAAAGTTCTTGGATGGTACAAGTTCTGAGTGCTATGATGTTGATTCCTAATTCAACACTGGATATTCAACTCCCCAGATAAGCTTCATTAGTGGCTTGATTCCCATTCAACGTTTAGTTTAACAGTGTGCCCGGAGTGTTTGATCAATATAGATAAGCTTTGATCTAACTGTGTGAGGGTTGGGGTTTGAAAAGCGGAACGACATCATGGCACATGGGTAGTAACCCATAAGTGCTCTAGTCTGAGTCCGAAGAAGCTTAGCACAGTGCACATTCCCTGTAGCACCGGTGAGGATTCAGAAATAGCCGTTAGGCTACACTTTACCACTTCCAACTGCCAAGGGATTTTTTACGTGAGGAACAATACACACAGGCGTTAGATCTCACTACCCAGAGAGCAGGGACAATTACTAGAAATCCAAGTCCAAGTGAAAAAATCCCAGCTATTATTGGGGATTGAACCCAGAACCTCTAGCACTCGACGCAGACACCATGCCCTGAAACCACGCAGCCCCGTTTTAATATAACTGACTTTGTTCAGTGTTTTGTTTAGATTAGCGTGTCATTGTATTTGTTGCCTCAGGTTTCATTACTATTTCCAGTGTCTTTATTACAGCACTCTGCCTACCATCGCCTAGGCTTCAGCAACTGCCACACTGCCTACCATCGCCTAGGCTTCAGCAACTCATGGGGTCACTGTCGTATTAAGGACTCGTATTACGTTTTTCCTTTTCCTTTCTTGATGATCGAAGGTCTCCTTTGCATCTTTTATCTTGTCATTCTCTTCTTTTAATTTATCTCGTAATTTCGTCTTCTCACCGTTTCTCTAATTCCCCCCCCCCCCCCCCCCCCACCCCAAGAATCTTCGTGCCAGCAGACAAGTGTCTGGTTATTTTTGTTTTAACAGTTGAGCGTAATCTAGAAACAAAATATACTTACAAATTTTCAAAATTTAAGATGTCATGTTGATCTTCTTTCATCTTCCTTCTCCTCGTCTTTCTCTCTTCATCATTTTACACTTCCTCATAGCCTTCCTCTTTTTCTTGTTTCTCGCCGTTAGGGTCTTTTTCCTGCATCGCCTTCTTTATGGCTTTTTCGTGGCATTTATGATAACATTCATTATCGCCTTTTTTAATTAAAAGACTTTTTCAATGGCGGGGGGGGGGGGGGGGGCGAATAAAGGTTATGAAGAATTGTTAATACTGATTGGGAAAGGAGGGGGGGGGGGGGTTTGGTTGTTTCATAAGCGGTTTTTAGTTAGGCTGCAAATATTACTGTTAGCATGTCCACTCTTCGTTTGCTACTGAAGAAGTGGCTGTATCATGTGTGAGAATATCCTGAGAACTGTGATGTCAGTCCTTAATTTCATTAATATTTCATTCATTTCTTCATTCATCGCTTTGTTCGTCGACTTTTTCACTTTTTCCTTTTTTTAAACTGTTTCTTGTTCTTGTTCTTGTTCTTGTTCTTGTTCTTGTTCTTGTCTTTCTTCTTCTTCTTCTTCTTCTTCTTGTTCTTCTTCTTCTTCTTCCTCGTCTTTCTTCTTCTTCTTCTTCTTCTTCTTCTTCTTCTTTTCTTCTTCTTCTTCTTCTTCTTCTTCTTCTTCTTCTTCTTCTTCTTCTTCTTCTTCTTCTTCTATTTCTTCTATCCAACAGATCCGATATTGACAAACCTCTCATGAGTCGTCGTTTTTCCTCATGCAATGGCGGTGGGTTCTGTTGTTGCGTGATGTTTCCTTTCCCCTCCCCCTCCCCCCAACTCGAACCCACTTGGAACCCAGCAGTGCATTTCGAGTTGTGAAAGTGACAGTTTCGAGTGACGTCACGACTCTGGATTATTACAATCTGCAGGTGCAGGAGAAGTTCTCTCTCCATAACCACTTAAAGTTTTCTTTTGGACAATTGGTACCTCTTAATTGGATCCCCCATTTTGTTCAGAAATATTGTTCTCCTCACTGCTGTGTGGTAACGTTTTGAAACCCCTCTGAGCTGATTTAATCTTTTCTCTAATTTGTCTCATTATCTTGACTTTACACGTTCTTTTGGTTCACATGACCTGGGGCAGAGGAAATCATCAGCAACACTTTTTCCTTTGCAGTAATTTTTTGAAGAGCGTGTGTCTGTCCTCGGTGGATGCTGCCTGTCGTGAAAATATGCATTCATAGCTGCCTTGGGACATTGTGGCAGAGGCAGTACTTCAGTGGGTGATTTACCTTCAAAACAAAAACCGTGGAGAGGAATGGATCCCGTATCAGATGAAAACAATCAGTACTTTGGGGTGGTTTTCACCCTGACAAAATAGTGCCGCGATTTAGCGCCACCAATAATAGATGCAGTAGTGAAAGCATCGATGGAGGAACACACTTCACCTGAAGATGTTGTTAAAGATTCAAATAGTTCTGTGATTCTTCAGAAGCGAAATGCATCGGCTTTCATAGCACACACACACCACACACACACACACACACACACACACACACACACACACACACACACACACAAAGGCAAAGTAAATAAACAAGGCAGTGGCTGCGACAAATGTCTTTTAATGGCTGAAAACTAGGGAGTGTCCCAAGATCTGAGCTCTGCGTTCTCAGCTTCTTGGCCATGCGCTCCTCCTCACAATGTTAAAAAAGGTAATTGCGTATCGTTGTTTACACGGCCTTGTAGAACCAACGACCAGCATTTTTTGGCTTCTGCAGTTTTTCTTAACCCATGTTACATTCAATTGTTTGCCATTGTTTCTGAACATCCACTTTTCATAAACCATAACAAACTATCACTGGTAACACAATGTCCAGTAAAATAAATTAAGATAAATACTTGTGTAACTTCATTGGCCCATCGAGCATTTGGTACTAGACATTCTAATAGACCAGGCGATAGGTGATGCAACCAACGTCATACTGGACGTCCTTACTTCTATTGATTTTTACTAGTACTCAAATCGGGCACGATCAACCAGGTAGCAAGAGCCATCAATTTTAAAAATCAGGGTGTCGCTGATCTTAGCCAGAATATATGTTTTAGCTTCTGTTGTTCCCGGTTCCATCATATCGCTGGCTATTTTTTGTTCTTGCCCTCTTGAATGGTGTAATTGTTAAGTACAGCAATCATTTAAAGACAATATGTACCTTTTGTTTCTGCAATACTTTTAAAATTGAAGACAGTCCTGTATGTAGTAATGCTTATGGTTTCTTCTTCTTCCTCTTCGAGTTCACTAGCTGTAAACTCCGGCGGAAAGTTCTGGTTATTCGTCCACTTCTGGACTGCAGTCCTGTTCCAGAAACTGACTGTTCCTTGCCTCTCAGGCAGATGCACTCCGACTTCGAAGAAAGCTCCCAATTAGTAGACTCTTACGACATGCTTTTGCGTAGGCAGTGGGTCTGTTCTTGTTTTTCCTATAATAGGGTCCCGGAACCCACACGGAGAGCTTTGAGTTTGAAGTATTAAGTCTTTACACGCCGCCCTAACCTAAGTAGAAGTGTGGCTATTCGTGTCTTGCTAAATTAATGATGAAGCTTTTACAATATTTCCCGGCGCCCTAACCTAAGTAGAAATATGACTATTCGTGTCTTGGCTAAATTAATTATGAAGCTTTTACAATATTTCCCTCCGAAGAGGTGGCGGCTTACAGAGGCGCCGAGCGCACAGCTTGGGAATCACTGCACAATGACATTTCGTATCACAAAATTACAGAAGCAGACACACACAAAAGAGTAATTTTACCCACACATATTCGAGAATATCTGGATTTCAGTTCTCACAGTAACGTAGGGATTTATTTTTACACAGAAAAGCACTGCTGGGAGTAGTAATACATTTCAGTTCATTTGGGCCATTCGAAAAGAAAGGCCACAGCAAAAGTACACTAACTATTATCAGAGAATAATTTGCACGACTTTGAATGCCTTCAATCAACAGTTGAAATCTTGACGTCACCTCTGAGGACTGAATATATTTATTATGGGGCATTAACAAAGCCGCAAAACAACATATCACGGCTAAAATATTCCTTTATACTTCCCCCTCCCACCGCCCCCCAGCATATTGAACTCCTGGGGTTCATGTCTGCTAATATAATCCGACATCATTTATCTCTGTGACTGACATTCTTACATTAAGATACTGGAGGTCGTATTTATATTAAGCGAAATATGTTTCTCCATCACAGTCGACATTTTACCAAGCTTGTTTTGGTTAGTTCGGAAAAGTCAAGGTTTAAACCATCACACCATAACCATCTCGTTGGTCTCCCTAAGTTGCGTATCCTTTACAGGATATTGCAGAACCAACCACAGCATTTATTTGACTGTTATGGTTTTTAGAGAGGCTAATAAACAGAATCCTGTCTTGGAAGCTTCAATATTTTGGTCATATAAATTGCCACGACGGATTGGGAAAATAGTAACAGAAGGCATGGTATAAAGAAGGAGGGACAGGGGCCGACGTACGCAAAGATGGGCACAGGAAATAAGTGACTCCTTGAGTATGGAAGTACATGAGGCGGCAGAGCTGGCAAGAAACCGAGTTTCTTTCAGGCAGACCGGGATGAGAGCGGCGTTCTGCAAAAGACCTGCTTGCTACACGGTGATGGTTTTTCTAGGCAAATTTACGTCCAATAACAATACACCTAAGTCTATGGAAAATGGTCCCTTACTCAATTTTACTTTTCAGTATACCAACGGTTGTCTTTACTTCCCAGTGCAATTGACAGTACCAATCGCAGGCTAAATGCATCAGGGACCTCAGTTGAATCAGCGTATTTACTCCGATGAGCTAGATCAGCAAGGGAGCATTGGTCGGAATTCAGAATCTGCATCGATGAGAGTGTTCACTTTCTTCATCTTCTTCTCTCGTTCGCTTGGTGTTTGAACTTGTGACCACCCTTTTAGCAAATGTGCGTTTTAACCATTGGACAACCGCGGATCTCTGATTAATTAAATAACCATGTGTCGTATCCACAAAAATATAAGGCTACAGCGCATTCATGGCTGTCTTAGAAAATATTGCATGGGGAGGTCCAGTTTCTTCCACGGTAGGATTCTCGCAGTACACTTTTGAAACTACGCGAATGGTAAAGAGTCCAACACGGAAAGAGAGTCCAAGTACACAATGATCATGAAAAAGTTAAATGCATTCACTAACCTCTGAACTACACAGCCGCAACGTTTGGGAACTAACTGACCTTAACTATAACGATAAACAGATCGGTGTGTTTTAGTTGTTGTTGTTGCTGTACTGTGTGTGTGTGTGTGTGTGTGTGTGTGTGTGTGATGAAGATGATGATACAATAAGACCAGCTAGTATACTATCATCTTGGAAGAAACCACAACCACACACAGTGGTGCCTCGCTAAGGCCCTATGTCTATTTAGTCAAGCTTGGTATAGATACTGTTTAGAGGTGAAAACGTTTTCTTTGTATACAACCGCTGTTTGGAATACGACTCGCGTGATAGAACTATTGCGCCCCAGCCAGGTCCAAATAGGGAAAACAGGCAGGGGAACAACAAGAAAACACTGAGTTCTTCTCTACTTGCTCTTTCTTTGCAAAGTAAACTGAAGTTTAATTTCAACTACTTCCTGTTATTACTTTTGTATTTTTGTATTTAGTGGTAAGCAATGTTTTTATTATCTTCTACAATATGCCAATAACAATATTATTTTTCCCCTCCTGTAAACGAAATAATAGGTCTCCTATTATTTTTTTTAAAGAAATTGGTTAGTTATGTGTACTGTTTGGCATATATCGGAAGATCTCAAAACAGATCTTTTGTCGTGTGATCATAATGATAATTGCCAAAGGCAGTCATCGTCTCATCGTCCTCAGTATCATCCTGTTGTGGCTGGTACAAGTAACGTTTTGGTCCGCAAAAAAAGAGTGACTCCCCTCCCCATTCATGCCTCATGAGGTCGTAGGGCCTCTCCTATGCTGCGAGGGTATCATGTATTCCTTATTGCCAACGATTTACCAGTTCTCTCCTTTCTCATGTTATTGCTCACTTCCGTGATTATTTTCATATTCTGCTAACTGCACGACAGTGCGGGTGTATGGAAACTGCAATGTTTTTTTTTTCTATTTCTGCGTTTTTTGTCAGTGGCTTCTTTGTCTGGAGGAAGAGGGAAGGGAGGGGCGCCAACGAACGTAGAAATACAAAAACATCTCAATTTTGTTACTCACGAATCGTTGCGCCTGAGGTGCTTTCCCTGGAAGTATTTCTCACTTGTGGACAGGTGCCTGCGGTGCCTTAGTACAACACAACCTCCCACAACATTGTACACGCAGAGCGAACGCTGAACGAAACCATACTATAACACCCCTGCAACATAGGAGAGGCCCTGCGACAAGAAGAGGCATGAATGGAAAGGGAAGTCACTCTTCTTTTTGCGGACCAAAGCGTTGCTTGTACCTTGTGCCTGTATGCGTCACATAGGGCTAGCAGTGTATTCCCTAATCACCTTCTGCTCTATAAAGCCAAGGAGAATACAAGCAAGTATAGAAGCTTTATGGTTAACACACACATTTCGTGATTTCTTCTCGTCTCGTGAAAAACTGCTTACTTGTACAGTACAGCAGGAGACAGCACGATAGTAGTTGATGCAGCCGTTGCCAGTGTCCTAATTACAACTGTTTGGCAGTTTGAATTGGATATAGGGTCTTGTCCTGTTTGCTTGACACATATAGTGCGGCCCATCTGCTCACTGAGGTTTCTACCTGTTAGACAACAGTCCAAGAGGAGAAGCAGAGTAAATTATATTTATTCACTTGGTTTTATGTACGCTTAAGGTATGTACGTGTGAGTGTGCCGTTTGTTAACACCCCCCCCCCCCGCCTATTTTCTTTGTTAACATTTCCACCCCCTTTCTTTGTTAACGCCCACGCCCATTTTCTTTCTTAACACCCTCTTCCCCCCCCCCCCCTCCCGGCTAGCTTCCCTTTTCACAGCGTGCACTAGTTTAAGAAAGATCTGTCTCCAGCTTTATTAGATGAAGTAAGGAAAATATTACGTTCCGACTTTTCCGGTATTTTATCTCCCTGTAAGTAAAGCAAAGGGACGGTATTCCATTGGTCAATCAACCACACGACGCTACGCTCATGCTTCAATTAACTAGCCTGGATCAGTTGGTCATGTGGTCAGCATTATGCCGAAAACCTTCATTTCCCATGACAATGTCTCGTATCCCTTTTTAGGTGAGATCCGCTCCGTGTATATTGTTTGTTTTAGTATCCACAAGCCATGAGTTGTTAACCCTTAGGCTCGGTATTATAGATATCGCCACCTGTCGGCCTTGATTCCATTGTACATATTGTAAATCTGGGAGAAAATGTTGCTTTTCTGCCTACCCCCGTGATTGAACCCGGACCACAAGGAGTTCGTCACCCGGTCTCTGCGCAATCTGGGATCCGTGTATAGAGATATACACTAAGAAGCTTCTATATGCTGTATGAATGGCTGATCAATATTATAATCCTGACAATATGGATAAATAATTATAGTCTGTTAATAATAATTTATGTTTGGTTGGGATTAAAGAATATAATAATATTATTTTTGTTTAAT